ACATCCGCGATTTTTACATTTAATAAACTTTATATCAAATTTCAAAAAATTATAACTAGTTGTTTTTCTACAAGTTTCTATAAAAATTTCATAACATTATCTTTGCACTATTTTTCCAATGTGAGTTCTTGTAACTTTTGAGAGGAAAACATCCAAAAGTTTGACACTAATTCTCGTAAATGTAAAAAAATTTGTTGAAAAATTAAGATCAGTTTCCACTTCAGTTCAACTTAAATATTCATAAAATTCAATCAAATTTAACTTTAAGTAATAATTTATACTTTATATTTGACAGTCAAATTCAACACAATTCGAGTCTTAATCATAATTACGTCAAACCGACCGATAATTGAATTTAAATTCAACTCAATTAACACTTCTATCTTAAATCTACAAACTAATTCTTATCTATTCCCGTTCACAATGACACCACAATTTTTTTTAATTTAATTATTCTTTATTATTTTTATAATCAATTTCAATTTGACTTTAACTTTGAATACTCGTAAAATTCAAGTAAAGTTAAGTTTAAGCAAAAATATATATTTTATACTTGACAATCAAATTCGGCTTAATTTGAATCCTAATCATAATAACTTCAAACCGATAATCGAGTAAAATGAAAGAATTAATGCAATTTTTGGGCGAAAAAAAAATTTGGAGGAGTAATTTTGATCAATAATCTTAAAACAATCTAAACGGCGAAAAGTTCAAAACAAACAATACTAACTCTCTTAGTATATATATATATATATTATTTGCCTATTATAGTATTTTTATTTCAATACAAAATATGACCTATATTATAATTATTTGACTCGTTTTGAGGCAAATAATATATATTTAAGGTCTATTTATTTATTTAAAAATAATCTTTAATTACATAGAATCATAATTAATAACCGAATTAATGTGTAATATGAGATAGAGAGAGAGAGAGTTTATAAGAGAGATATGAGTCTTAGAATTGTAAAATGAATGAAAGTCTAGTTCAAAAAATTGGGATAGGAAATTTTGCATTAGGACCGTCAAATTAATAATCGTCAAGCGATCTGAGCCGCGAAAAACTCAAGACAAACATTTCTAGCTATTTTATTATATACTAGTGTATATATATATGCGTTCTTTATTTTTGTATATATATATATATATATATATATATACTAGGGATAACCTGTGTCTGAAGGCACAACGCAACTAAAAAAAATTGAACATTGAATTTAAATGCGAAATAATCAAACACTAAACTCGAATACGTAATAAACTGAAAGTCTAAACTCGCCCTATATCATGTGTCTGAAGGCACTGTACATAATTTTTAAACACAAAATAATCAAACAATGAATATAAATATGCATTAAGCTGAAAATCGTTTGGTCATTTTTAATGTCATGACTTTAGTGAAATAAAAAGGGTCAAAAGTTGTCATCAACCAATACTTTGACCATCTAAATTTTAAAAAAAAAAATTCATTAAATCAAGAACACTCCAACTTACACAACTAACCAAACAGGAAAAGGAAAAAAAAAGGAAATAAAAGTCACTTACGTGATCTTTCCAAAACCATCACCGCCTAGCACCACTGCAACAAATACCCAGAAGATCACAGCAAAATTCAACACAATAGATTAAAACCAAAACAAAACATTAGAATGTTTAAAAGAAAAAACACAATAGCAACAAATAAATAGCCCAATTTCAACTAACACTTCAATTCACAAAATTTCACAAAATTCACTGTCCATTAACAGCCCGTCACGAAATTCATAGCACATTTAAAATTGCATAAAAAAAATTAAAATGGTAGAAAAAATACACCCAAAAATTAAAGTTGTCACGACTCTTTGACTTCAATTATGAATCAGTGCAGTGCATTGGTCAGAGCAAAGAAATGAAACGCACACACACAGACAAGTTAAGTATTTTATGAATCCACCAGCAAAAATGTTTTCTTAAAAGAAGCCAAAGAAAATTGAAAGCCACCAACAGCCAAAAGAAAGTAATTGAACAAATATATTCCCTTTTTGTAATTTTTACCCTATCCAACACAGCACCATACTCCACCTTATTCAACCCCATTTGGCCGAGAGGCTTTGTGTGTGTTGTTTGTGTATGAGAAAGGTAGAAGGAGGGCGGGAGAGGGTGGCAGAGAGATGTGCTTGCAGACAGCAGTAGATGTGCTTGTGCTTGTCTCTTAGGCATTTCAACAAACACGTCATGGGTATTATGATTTGGGTATGACTTTTGGCATTTCAACAAGCACGTATAGAGCCATTGTTTGTGTGCTTAATATAGTGTCCCATGCATATACAATCAATAGCAGGGATGGCTTCAATGCTGATGGCATACAAACTGGGAGTAAGTTGATTGGTGCTTCAAGGCCCCATGATTGAGATGTCACAAAAGGAGAAACTGCTTCAAGGATAAATGAAACAGACATTAAAGATCATGATGCTTTAGGTGAGGCATTCATATGTGGCATTTCTCTTTTACTTCCAAGATCTTAAACGTTGATTTCGAGCCAACTTTTTCAAGAAACAGAATTTTATTTAAACATGGCCTCGAGGTCAGAAATCTTAAATTGGATTGACTTTTCAGTACCGATAATTCTATCAAATCGAAACCACCTAAGTATCAATAATCAACAAAAGTCCAGAATAAAAAGGGGGAAACTAAAAAAAACAACAAAATAGATAGTTTAGCCTCAAAGAAGGATGAAACCATTGAGAAATTACAGCAGTACACTAAACAGGGAGAGAGGGACCAAGGGTTTTGCTAACCGATACAATTAGGCATTGGAGATGTTGTCGGACCGGTGAGAGAGAGAGAGAGAGAGAGAGAGGTCAAAGAAGAAGAAACAAAATAGAAAACTCAGAGCCATGAAACAAATTTAATATGTAAATTCAGACAATAATTCTATCAAACCGAAACCACCTAAGTATCAATAATCAACAAAAGTCCAGAATAAAAAGGGGGAAACTAGAAAAAACAACAAAATATAGATGTTTTCTTTGAAGTAAAAAAATACTTGAAACCCACTCAATGCTTGAATAAATGGACTCCAACAAAAAAATCGATAGTTTAGCCTCAGAAAAAGGATGACACCATTGAGAAATTAGAGTAGTACACTGAATAGGGAGAGAGGGACCAATGGTTTTGTTGTACACATATTCATTTTGTTGTAAAATTGCTAAAAACACATTATTTCACAAACTATGCACAAACAACCTAACAATCAACTAAGTCAAATTAGTTTTATTTAATAACCAAATTGGGAGAGAAAGACGTCTAGGGACAACACAAATAGTATAGGGAGGCACAAACATTTTGTCAAACTCACGAGTTTAACCCAAACAGTTTATTAATCACAAACATTCAAAAACCCAAATTAACCCATTTTTGTGCGAGGCAAAGAGGAGAGAAAGAACTAACCTAATAATTTTTAAATGCACATATGACCAAAAATTTGCCTTGAACAATAATTTTCAGTGTTTTAATAAATCACCAAGAACCAAATAACCTGTGCAATACAATCAAGCTCTGAGTTCTGACATATAAATCTAATTTTCGAAGAAAATACCGTGAAATTGACCAGACCAATCAAATTGTCAACCTATTTTACAGTACCAGAGCACAATAATTTGCCACAAAGCTAAACCAAAATCCATGCACAAATATTATACTCAATTTCAAGCAAATTCAAGAAAAATTCTACTTTTAACTGCTAATTGCTCAATTCAATTGCAAAAATGAAAAGAAATGAACCAAAAATGAACCATGCTAAACATAAAGTATGATACCCATGTAACCCACTACAACCATAAAAAAAATAAAGTAATTTATCCAGTTCAACATATCAATGTTCCAAAATCCTAGTCACATTACCCACAAAGCAATCTATCCAATACAAAATTGAACTTTTCAAGTAGTAATAAACATGAATATAAAATTGGCCTAAATAGCACTAAACATCAATATAAATACAACCAAGCAACTCTATAAAATAATGATTTAGCTCAGAAGAGGCAACACAATTTTTGAATGCACCTGAACAATTCATATAAAGGAATGATTTCCAAATTTCAAAAGTGCACTAAAGTAATCAAAACCCAAATGCAAAAATACAACATAGAATACCAAGAAGTGTACCCCAATCTTAGCTTCTTGTATTCACAAATTAATGTGGAGAATTAACGTCCTCTACTACAACCTTAAATAGAAGTCATCGACCAATGCTCCGACCACCTATAGATTAACAATTCTCATATATTATCAAAATCAAGAAAGCAAAAGCAAAAGAAAAAAAAACACAAAACCTCAACTTTTTTGCCAGCGGTTCATGCCATTTTTTTGAGAGCATTAAGCAAATCAATAAAATTGTTTAGGTCACTTAAGTTCAACATAAGAGAAACATGCACAAACATGTAAATTTTGGGTTTTGTCTGTAAGGCTGTAATGGTTGTTGTGATTGTTCACAAACATGCACAAACACGTGAATTTAATCTACCCATCCGGTGGCTTAAAACGTTCATCACAAAGATTTAAAGCCTTTGAATTTCATCCTATTTCACCCTAACATACATCAAATTAAGACCTTATAAAAACCTATTTCATACTTAATATAAATATCCCTAACATTTATCAAATCAAGACACTATAAACTTATTTTATAATTAAAAAAAATAACATTCAAAAACCCAAAAAAAAAAAAACACGGGTAGAAAAATCTTGTTGAAAGAAGCTTTTGAAATGAAAACCTCTCTTTGTTCAAAAACAAAAAAATGAAAACCTCTCAAGTTGGCCCTACTAAATGATTTTCAGGTTTTACCTGCTCCTTTTAACAAATATGGTATCTGTATGTTGAAGGGGAGTCTTATCAGAAAGAGTAGTGTAGGCACAAAAACGAATAAATATCAACCACACCTATCAAATCAAGTTCATGTGTGAACATTAAGCCAATGCATATCAAATGTAGAATAAACCTCCATGCTCTCGTTATTAAACAAAAAAAAAAAAGAATGCATGCATATAACTTAATTTCCTAATCAAATTAAGCTACACAATGGTATCGACACAATGGTCGTTTTATCCATGAGACGGCATTGCACAAAGGCAATCATTTCTAAACTTCAAAAATCACTTTATAACAGAAATTGACCACAACCCAATAGATAATTCTTACACAAACCCTAATAGCTGATGGATTCAGGAAAAAATAGATGTTGGAAAAAAAGAGACTTGATAATTCTCGGTATAAAACTGATGAAAAGCAAAAAGAGGAAGAAAATTATAAACTCAAATAGAAAAGAAACGTACTTGCAGGCATTTTAATGGGTCTGAACTCCTGCAACAGCATTGAGCACCCAAAGAGAGAACATGGCAGACTCTGATGCCAAAACTACCACCACTTAGCATATAGTGACTACCATACCATATCAAGCAGAACCAATCAAAGTTGATCACCATGAATAGGACTTGCTACAGTACCAATTAAAAAAATTTAGTAGCATACCTCTCTAAAATTTACTACTTTAAATAATGTTTGTAGGTCATTATATGTTATAGATATGTGTGTGGGGGGGAAGGGGTGTAGGTGGTGGTGGTGGTGATTGGGGCAGTAGACATTTTGACGAACACTTCATGTGCATTACGACAAACCCATGATCGGCACCACCATCCTCTTTTTCCATATCATTTGCGTCTGAGAGGGAGAGAGATCGACCCAAATGTAATCGACAAAATAGTCGCCGCCTGTGAAAAGAGAGGCAGATAGTGATGTGTGTGGGTTGTTGTGGCTGGGTTGGTAGAGGGGCAAAGAGAGAAAGAGAAATACCTGGCAGTGGCAGCGGTGGCAGAAAGAAAAACCCGAAGGGGAATGAAAGAAAAAAGGGAGCTGAAAGAAAAACCCGAAGGGGAAGTGACCATGACATGGATTTGGGGAAGTGACCGTGCCATGAATTTAGGGAAGTCACTGCCTGACTCTCTGCCTGACTGTGAGGTGAGGGAGGATGTGAGATGAGAGAGAAAGGATTGAGATGAGAGTAAAGAGGGAGGAGGTGAGAGAGACAGAGAGAGGACATCAAAGAGCTGTTGGGTCTGTGTGTTGCAGGGAGCTGTTGGGTCTGGGTTGGGTGTGATGGTTTGGGGGGGGGGGGGGGGGGAGAGGGGGAATATGTTGGATATGAGATTGAATTTTTTTTCTGTTTTATTAGATAGATATGTGTGTGTATAAATAAATGAGATTTGAATATATTTTAAATTTTGAATGAATTTTATATGGATAGTTTAATTAAGAAATATCTAAAATTAAGGAGATTTGATTTTGTTTAATTTTTGAATTGTATAATTGATTTTGTTTGATTTTTAAATTGTGTTTTGAAATAGATTTGGGTATTTCGGCTTTTGTACAAATACATATCCTTAAAATCCAAAAAGTAGGGGCCATGTTTGGTTTAATTTTTAAAAACAGTTTTTTATTCTCAAAATTCTAAAAATAAGGAGAATGTTGTTTGTTTAATTTTTTTGTTCTCAATGTTATTTGAAGAAACATGAAAACACAGAAAACAAGAGTAATGAGGACTCCACTTCGAATTTTGTTGGAGACAAAAAATAGTGATCGGTTGTTCATCTTCTCCATTGTTGTCTCTCTCTCTTTTCGCATCTTCTCCACCGCTATCTCTCTCTCTTTTCACATCTGTTCATCTTTGAGTTTCCTTACTCAATCTTTCTACTCAACAGATTTGTATATGTTCAGATGTGTGTTCAGATCTATATATATACACATATTTCTCCGTGTGTGTATATATATATATATTGTGTGATGTATGTGAGTGAGTTTTGTTGTGTGTGTGTGATGGCTATGTGCGTTTGTTTTTGTTGGGTGAGATGAGAGTGGGTGTGTGAGAAGATAATGGAGAGTTAGAGAGTTGCCGAGAAGATATGAAGATAATGGAGAGAGAGAGAGATAATGGAGCATCTCACGTGACTGTCCGACTAAGTGAAAAAATTAATTTTTTGGATCATTGTCCAAACATGTTTTACTATTTTCTGTTATTTAAAATTATTTTCAAAACCATATAACCAAACAAATTTTGTAATATAAAAATATTAAAAAATATTTTTCTAAAACTCTTTTTAAAAATTATTTTAAAATATTATTTTCTGAGATACAAATCAAACAGACCCTAGTTTTTTTATATATTTCCTGCTAAAAGTCTAAGATACTGTGCCGACTTCCAAAAATCCCTATAGTATATGATAATGCACCGTGATATTTTATTGTGTACTTGTCCAAGTAAAATTGGGCTGCGGCCCTTTAGCAGCCCAAATAAAAAAGAGAAATAGACAAAATTTGAAGAAACTGAAAAGAAGGCGACGCCCCTCTCTATTTTTCTTCTCACAATCGAGCGGTCAGACTGTAACAATGGCGAATTCGCTGCTGATGCGTCCACAAGTGGCGGCATTTCGTCTCTGGCGACCCCATTTTTTTAGCAGCCGCGCTTTCCCATGTTCTCAAGCGGCGAAGCCCTGTCACGTCACTACGCGCACTCCCTTGTTGTCGGAGAAGTTTCTTGTCGGGCTTCACTACTGTGTTGGTCGTGTCACCAAATCGGACGGTTGTCGGAGTCTCAGTATCCGAGCAATGACAGAGGTCAATGATTCCAGCTCAATCAGCTCCCCTTTGATGCAGTCAATGGAAAAGAAGGTTCAATTACTTCCATCTCATTAAATAACTTATATGCTTCTTACCATCGTCTTCGCTTTTAAGCTATGGACGTTAGTACGCTTCCGCTGATTTATAACATGATTTTACTTATCATCTGGGGGGACTTTATTTCTCCTGTATGTGGCCGAATATGCCCAAAAAAGCTGCATCTTAATCCTCTTGCATTCTATTTTGATACGGAATTGAGAACAGGAACAGTGGGAGCTATATGCTTCTACGGGAAGGAAAGAATTCGATATGTATAATTAATACTTGCGATTTCCTGTTAGATTCTGGAACTTTTGTAGCAATCGTTGTTGCTCTTGCAACCTCCAATAAGCAAAGGTGCTGCCCTTCGCTGAAGATGGAACTTTTCTGAAATACTCCAAGATGAAGACACGTGTCCTTGGGCGTCACTAAAAATCCTGTTAACTGAGATCACGTACCATCGGCTTACAAATTCCCTCGCCCCGAGGTACTTGACACTGTGTCGAGTACGTTTTACGAACCGACACGTATCCCTCGGTCTAAATATGGTACCTCGGTCGTCATGTACAGCTTTCCTCGGCTCGAGATGTACCTATCCTCGGTACCGAGACGTACATATCCTCGGTACCGAGATGTACCCCGTCCTGGATGCCTTTTTCTCTGCTCCAGTATAAGCTATTGATGTACAGGTCATTAGCCTAGGCTAGTCTAGGTTAGCTATCATGGTCTCGTCTTACACAATTTGTGTCAGAAGGAACAGGAAGGCAGGGTCCACAGCCAATGAGGGATGGACGCGTAGCAAATTGTGTCACATCAGAGACAGAAAGACCGCATGCCCTTACTGACACACGACTTGGGAAAACAAACATTTAATTACACCATTCCCTTGATGAGACCGCATTCAATGCGGTAAGGCTCGGAATTGAAAGACAATAAATGTCTCTAAGGCTGGGCATTTATTGCATCCTCCCCGAGTGGAGATCATTAGACAGTCGGCAGCCCGATGACACAGCATTGATTGCTCGGCACTCCGAGCAGTTAAAGAAGGGAAGACATTCCTCATCAGAATCAGTGCGCACACTGCCTGTACCTAATGATCATCTACTGACAACACTGACAGCAATCATGAGCTTTTGAGGTATAAATACTCCTCATAAAAGGCAAAACGGTATGCAACAAGAAACTCTTTACTACGAAATATACTCAGTGCTTTCTTCTTCCTCTCCCTTTCAAAAACTGACTTGATCGTCGGAGGGGATAAGCCGGAAAACACTCCGGCGCCCTTCTAACTTGTTCTCCTTTGTTCTAGGAACCTTTCCCCAGCCTTACTGGATCATTCTTTCAGTTCACGAGGGTCTCCCGTTACCGTTCCAGGTTACCACCAGACCTCACAGGCTGTCCCAAGCAGCGTGGTTGATCACTCAACTGACCCACTCGAGTTCACCAAGGGAGAGATCTGTTCTCGTTTTTTATATTGTGCAAGATCCTGCACGCACAATCTGGCGCCGTCTGTGGGAAACGACTAGTTTTCCTAGTTTTTTCTCTATAAAGAACAGTGACCATGGTGAACACTCGACAAAAAGGGAAAGGTCCCCACCAAAGAAGTCTCGAACTACAAGCTCCCTGTCACCACGGAGGAAGGGATCACACTGACGGGAATAAAAATGCCTCCACTCAGTCCAGAGGGGTTACCCCTCAAACCAGTATGGGAATTAGGTCAGGAGGGTCAGCCCCCTGGCTCGTCAGCTGGCGGAGGTGATCGAAGAAAAGTTTGGCGATAGATTACGACAGCTGGAAAAGGACAATGTAAACGTCCTAAGCCGGCTCAACGAATTCGCCGCCTCCGGCGAAGGGTCGAGGGACTCATTCCTCTCTCGTGGGCTCCCCGCCCGGGAGGCGAAAACGAAGGATCTAAGGAATCATCTGAACAACAAGGCGGAGAGCTCCCGGGCTCCAAAGCGACCGAGAGCCAACGAGCACCTTCCTAACGACTATTCAAGGAAGGCAAGACCATTAGCCCTGGACGACCTCCGGCGAGGATTGTCTAGACGAAGGGAGGGGGATGAGTCCGAGGAGGATTCTTCCCTATCCGCACGGCGCCCAGGAAATGAGGGGCCCATTGATGAACTCAAGGACTTCAGAAGACATCCCGTCAGGGAGGAAATTGATCTCAGAGCCCGGCTGGAATCCAAGAGAAAGAGTAAGGCTATCCAGGATGAGGTCGAAGACGAGGTCATACAAACACCCTTCACCAGGGAGATCGGAGAGATGGAGGTTTCAAGAAAGTTCATCGTGCCGAGGTTCAAAACTTATGACGGGCGGTCCGATCCCGAAGCCCATCTCAGGCAATACAAGCAGATGATGTCCCTCTATCATTCGGACCAACGGTTTCTCTGCCGAGTGTTTCCAATGAGCTTGGGGGACTCTGCGATGAAGTGGTTCGAGGCGCTTCCCCCAAACAGTATTGGGTCGTGGAAGGAATTGACGAGGCAGTTCCTGGCACGATTCATTACGGGGAGTAAGCGCCCCAAAGACGTTGGATCATTGCTGACCCTCCGACGTAGGGAATCTGAGACCCTTCGCCAGTATGCCATCCGATACTGGGAAGAGGTTAATGAGGTAGAAGGTTGCTCGGAAGTCATGGCAGCGGCGTCTTTCCGGCTCGGCCTGGCGAGGGACACGGACCTGTACCGATCCCTGACCAAGAAGACTCCCTCGGATATGGGGGAGCTGATGGCTCGGATAAACAAATACTCAAGGATCGAAGACGAGATAGGAAGCAGCAAAGGCCGAACCCTGCAATCTAAAAGAAAAGAGAGGGAGCGGGAAGATACTCCCCGAAAGGGGTTGCTGCCCCCTCCAGGGGGTTCGTCCAAAGGAGTTCACACTATGTTCAAAGAACCCATCTTCAAGTTGCTCCATAAGATCAAGCACGAGCCGTTCTTCAAATGGCCGCCCAGGATGCAGAGCGATCCCTCCACCCGTGATCAAAGGGTTAGGTGTTCCTATCACCGGGATTTCGGACATCGCACCGAAAGCTGCAGGGTGTACAAATCGTTCTTGGAAAAATTGGTCCGAGACGGATACTTGAAAGAATACATAGAGCCCAGGCCAGAAGAGAGACACACCATTGCCCCGACCGAGGAACCGGACAACGTCATAGATGTCATCCATGTATGTCCCCTGGATCGCCCCACGTCCAAGGAACTCGAGTCCGACCTCAAGAGGGTAGCTTTTACAAGGAAGGTGGCCGAGGATGATGGAGGGCCACCCAGTAAAAGGGCCAGGACTGGTGAACCAAGCATCACGTTCTCAGACGCGGACTTGACAGGCGTAGTGACTCCTCATAACGACGCCCTTGTCTTGACCCTGAAGATAGGAAAATTCGACGTCAAAAGGGTGTTGATAGACTCTGGAAGTTCCTCGGAAGTGATGTACTCCGAGACTTTAAAACGGATGGGTCTTGGCCTCAAGGACCTCACCAAGGTCAGAACACCTCTCATCGGATTCAACGGCTCGTTCGCCCTGCCCATAGGCAAAATCACATTGCCAGTTGTCACCGGTCCCTTCGTCATCAACACCGAGTTCGTCGTAATTGATACGGACTCTCCCTACAACGTGATCATGGGGCGAACATGGCTGCATGCGTTGGGAGCTGTGCACTCCACCTACCACCAGAAACTAAAATTTGCCACGCCAGAAGGTATCATGGAGATCCGGGGGGACCAAGCGTCCGCAAAAAATTGTTTCTATTCAGCCGTTAGAGCCGGGGCGTTCACCCAAGAAAAGGGACGAGCACCGGAAGAGATCATGGAAAAATAGCAATCACAGTCCGGGCGTCCAGGAATGGATGACCCCCGGATAGACCCAACTGAGCGGTCGGTAGAGGACCTCCGGAAGGTACCCTTGATGGAGGGAGAAGAAGAAAGATATTTCTTAGTTGGAACTGCAATGCCCACAGCCGAACAGGAGGAGATGATTGAGTTCCTAAGGGGAAATGCGGACGTGTTCGCTTGGAACGCAATGGAGATGACGGGGGTAGACCCCGAGATAATCACGCACAAGCTGCATGTTGACCCAACGCACAAGCCAGTCAAACAAAAGCCACGACGCATGGCCCCGCATCATGCCTGCCTGAAGAAATCGACAAACTCCTGAAGGCCAACGCCATTCGGGAGATACAGTTCCCAGAATGGCTATCTAATACGGTTTGCGCAAAGAAGAAGGGGGGAAAATGGCGTGTCTGCGTGGACTTCACAGATCTAAACAAGGCATGTCCCAAGGATGACTACCCCCTACCAAAGGTGGACCAGCTAGTGGATGCCACTGCCGGATATGAACGCATGGACTTCCTGGATGCCCGAGCGGGATATCACCAGATCCCTCTCCATCCCCCAGATCAGGAAAAAACGGCGTTTATCACTCCGAAAGGAGTTTACTGTTACAAAGTGATGCCGTTTGGACTAAAGAACGCTGGGGCGACGTACCAAAGACTGATGAATCGGATGTTCAAAAAGCAGATCGGCAACACCATGGAGGTCTACATTGACGATATGCTGGTAAAGAGCAAACGAAGTCGTGATCATCTGGCAGATTTGGCCGATACCTTCTCCACCCTCAGGGAGTACGGGCTGAAGCTGAACGCGGCAAAGTGCGTTTTCGGAGTGGAATCGGGTAAATTTCTCGGATATCTGGTCAGCCAACGAGGAATCGAAGCTAACCCGGATCAGATTCAAGCGATCCTGGACATCCGGAGCCCCCGAACTGTCCGAGAAGTCCAGAAGCTCACGGGGATGCTAGCAGCACTTAACCGTTTCGTCTCACGCTCCTCAGACAAATGCAAACCCTTTTTCGGAGCAATCAAGAGTGCGGGGAAGGAAATGTGGAGCCAGGGGTGCGAAGATGCCCTGGCTGGAATCAAGGAATACCTAAGGACTCTCCCGACCTTATCCGTCCCCATCCAGGGGGAAATGCTCTTCTTGTACTTGGCCGTGTCTGAATTTGCGGTAAGC